TACCCCGGCCCGGGCCGGGCCAGCCGCGCTGTCTGGGCCGGGCGACAGCGGCGGTCCGGGGGCTGTGAACCAGCCTCTGGTCCTCCCGTGGTCCCTCCCGCGGTCCTCCTGCGGTCCTCCCCGCGGTCCGGGTCCTCCCCCGCCGTCCCGTCCTCAGGCGTCCCCGCTGCCGTTCCCCGCCTGCGGCGACGGGCCGAGTCGCACTACGATGAGATATTTTCCAGGGGGATGTTAACAATTCGGAGGGGCGGGGGAGGCGTGCCGAGCCCAGCGGGACCGCGGCGGGAGCCGCCGGCCAGTCCCGCCCCGCGGCTACCGCATAAACCATGTCCCCTGACCTTAAATTCCCAATGATGGGTCAGAAATGTTTTGTAGGGCGCGCCGCGGCCGAGGGCGCTGCCCGGCGCTGTTCTGTTTTTGTTGGTCACACAGGGTGGATGTTGTGGCACGCCACAGTTCCAGACCGTTGGTCATAAACAGCACCCCTCCCCCCACAACCACAATCCCTACCCCATCCCCGCAGGTCGCGAGTTGACGCCGAGTCAGCGACCCCGGGAACGGCGTCAGCTCGATGACCTGGCACATTGACCTGCAGTGTGTCATAGTTAGGTGGACAGGACACGGGACTACGGCGCCGTACTATGTGGTTTATAGAGAAACAATCCATGTAATTGGATGCTGAATGCAGGTTGTAATGTATATGACTATGCATAGCTTGTTCCATCTAGCTCGTGTCATAATGCGGCATTATTCATTCAATCATTTTCACTACCGCTTTTTGGAGTCACATCTTTCTACGTTAGATCGATTTCAATCGACGATATTTACCAAAGCTCCCATAAGGCGCATTTCTAATAAAGTGATTGCCTTCGGGACAAGCCGTTGCATGTCTTTTCGTATCACTCACCGTCCCATTTGGCTGCATGGTTTGCAGTGCAGGCCGTTGTGAAGATGTATGACCTATTAGGTCTGCCTGCATCCTGAGGGTGCGGCATAGCATGACGTCAAAACAGCTTCAGCGGGTATACGGCCTTCACGCCATCGGACCGCCGCGGACTAGTCACGGACTGAGGTTTAAACTGGTTTCTTCTGAAATCGAAAAAGGCTGTTAGATCTGTATGAAGGGAAGTCCATAGCGTGAGATGGTTGTACTATGACCGAAGGCGCCCATTACGATGCCGAATTGAAGGCATCGAATGTTGCCTCTGCACGAATACGTGTCATTGCACCGTTTCACTTGATAAGCATCGATTGGGTTCGAACCAGCACTTTTATTGCAGTGAATGCACTCGAGGAGATCTCTCTCCATGTACGGCTCAAAGAAGTCTGTTGCCATCTGTGTATATTGTTATGGAATACGGTGAGCCACTTACCAGCACGTGTTTGTCTGGACAAGAGCGCCGGATTATTTAGAGGCAGCGCGCCGAATCGTTTGGCCGCCGGCTATGTGACCTCTGTGTTGTCCTCCGCCTCGCCCGGAGATAGGTCCTGTCCCGAAACAGGCCGCACTTGTGGCGGCGCCCCGAAATTGGAGCCGGCGCCGGGCACGCGTGCCGCCCGGCCTGCGCCCGACCGCCGGGCCGTGGCCGGGCATCTAAACACACGGCCCAGCCGCCGCCCGCGGCTCCACAATGGTAATTCGCCTGCATAAATTACCGTGCCGCGATAGACGCACGGCTCTTATTGACAGCATTCGGGGTCCTTATCGAGGAGGCCGCCGGCGGCGCGACCACAGTGCCCTGTTTTAGGAGGGCGCCGGCCGCGAATCCCCGACCAAATCGAACTCTCCGATTATTGTGCATATATTACCATAAATTACCGAGCCGTGGGTCTAATTAGTATCGGTTCCATCGGCCACGGACGGACGCTTTCTGTGTCTCCTAATGTGTGTAATGTCCAGGTGGACACACGTGTAATTTGGACATTTAAAGTGGGAGGAGGGCCAATTTTAAGGTGGAGTGCCACGCGGCGCGGCGCCGCCCCTGGGCCAGGGCGGCAGACAGGTTGACGGCGCCGGTCGCCGAGGACAGTGGTTACGACGGGGTCGGGAGGGCCGATCAGGGGCAGCATCCCCTACCCGGAGAAAGGTGCTGCCCCACAGCGGGACGCTGAGAACAAAGGGACGACTGGGGACAGGGAGGATGGACCGCAGTTGACGCCTCTGCTGTGAGGGCCGTGACTGTCTCCACAGACAGCAGTCCTAATCATCAGTGGGGCAGGAAGACACTGAGGATGATAGAAGCGAAAGGCGAGAACAATGCCCTCAGCGCGTGGTTGGTGAGCTCCACTAAACACTTACTGGTCAAGAAACACCGTCTGAGTGGCCGTAAAGTGCCCCTTAGATCACCGGGATATTTATTCAAAATTGTTTACACCCACATTTAATCTCTTAGTGATGAGATCACCATATCGAAATGATCTATTGGCTATAGGTTATACAATATACATGTGCTTTGTGTGTTGTGTGTCTCTTTGTGGAATAGGAGTAATGGTGATACCAAATACGCTTTACGTTTTCATAAATGAAAACCATACCACCGTGTGGTGCCGATCAGGAAATTGGAGCTCTGGTGACACCGAAACTGGACGAGCTGCCAGCTCCCGGTCACCGCCCCACCCCTCCCCTGCCCTCCCCGCTCCACCCCACGCTCGTCTACCCCAGCCTGCCCCATGACCCGACGGTATTCCGATCGCCACATTCCGTGTGACAGCGGGCTGCGAAAGGCTGTGGCGGTGTCACGCCGCCGGCTGAGTGACGGACTGTCACGCGTCACGGAATGTGACGGGTGGCGCCACGCCGGCTCGCCCACCGTCACCACGCAGATGACGTAGAGGGCGAGGGCGACACGTCAGGGTGTGGCGGGGTATCGTGGAGTCGAAAGGGAATGATGCAAGAGAGAAACGGAAGTGGTCAGTGAATTGACTGTTTGCTGCGGAGAAGGTTCTGGTCATTTCTAGTTATGACATGGAGGATGAACCATTTTTGTAAGCAGTGAAAAATTGATTTATTGTCATTGTTGCTGCTGTTGTTGTTAGTGACGCTGTTGACAGGATATTGTGCGATGTACACAACACCTACAATATTGCATTACTTATCGTTTGTGTGTAGGTTTCACTTCTATCTATCTTCGCTTCGCTTTTGGGGCATCCAAACTCCGAAATCAAGAGTCCAAGTACGCCAATAAACGGCGTTCACGGACACCATATTACGGTGTTATGATGCCCCAAAAGAGAGTTTGTTTGACACCCCCGTGGGGCGGACTTTTTGGCAGAGTCACCCTACCCCCCATTTGGTGTCATTTTTTCTTTCAGTGCACCTGCACAATAAACATTACTTCAGTTCAACATTGGTTTTCGTACCGATCAATCTGTTTTCTCACAAAAACGCCAATAAAACGAACAGAATGTGAGCAAATCAAGCAAAATGTTCCTGTTGATTGCCCGGGGCCATTCTCCGCCACGGTTCCCAGCGCCCAGCCACTTACTCGGCTGCCGATTTCACCCCATACAGCAGCGATAACGCGGTGCACCACATTCTCAGCCATTTGTGCCTTTATCGGGCCCGGCCGACGCCGAATTCATCAACTCTCCGGCGGCGGACCGACACTGGCGCACCCTTCCCGCACTTCATCATTTCTCGGGCTCTCTTCTGTGGCGGCGGTGGGCCATTCACTGCCGATTCTGGTGTGGCCGATTCGGGAGCTCAGGCGCCGCTCTGTCTGTTCACCTGAGCTGGGGAGAGGGTAAAGGGAGAGGACACTGTCGACTTACATTCCGGTGATAATGTTGGAACGTCGCGTCACATTCCGAGTGTCCCTGCGCGCTGTGGGGTTCAATCTGATAGGAGCTACTTGTGTTCATAAGGGTGGGGAGGATGTGTGCTCTTACTCAAAGTTATTTTATTCGTGCAGCTTTCACTTTCTTGGGGTGCCCTTTCCCGCTGTGAACACGCGAAACATACTGAGCTATACCCCTAGCCGCAGATAAGATCGCCGGTCTGGTCAGAGATCAGTGCGAAGATCAGGGCGGTCTGTTTGTGGCGCGGCGGCGTCAGATCTGGCGCAAATCGATGCTACTAAATCACAGCAGACGCCGCCGCCAACCCTTTCTCGGCCGTCTCAACCCCAGCCTTCCCAGCCTTCCTCGGTCTTTTTCAGTGTTTCGTGATCGGTCAGTGTTCGGCGTTAACATCAATGTGGTTCTACATATGATGATCATTTATGTATAATCCTTGTTGCACTAAAGTTGACTCACTGGTACCGCTAAATGAGTTTTGTGTGATCCCAAGCTCCAAGTGATCCCAAGCTCAAAATACTAACTACACCAGTGTTGTGAAAGTACCAGCGCGTCATCGTCTGGCTTTATTCGCGGTTCTCCATAAAACATTGAGCTTGAACCGTCTCTCATGACCTACCTTTATCTAACATGCAATATGCATCGTCCTCTCTGAGTAAACCCTGGGACACGTCCCACTGCCAACTTAGGCGATCGTGGCGCCCCAGCGGAACACTGAGGCATGTGCAGGGCGCACAGGTGAGCCAGAATTCCCACCGCCGCCCGGCCCCCTGCAGAGCCTCCCGGACGGCAGGCCGGACGCCATACCTTGGATAGCGGGACGGCCGGGCTGCCGGTGGGTCGGGCTTTTTACACGGGCCAGAGGGCCAGTATTTAAATCACGTGACCGGGCACAGTGACCCCCACGGTGACCGGTGGTATCCGAGGGTGTCATGAGGGGCTCATGGATACGCATGTCCTTCGCTGGGAGTTCTGGGTGTTTGTGACAGTCGAGGTTTAGGAATAAGAATGATGATAGTGTCAACAGTCATCGTGTGTTGTGTATTTCGTGTGGAATACGAAAACGTGTAATAATTGAAGCAAACTGAGGACACAAAGGTACGCGAAAGCTATAGGTAGTGGCTAAGTGCTTGACCAAAGCAAAGTCCATTGGTTAGTTGTCAATTATGTAAAAAGCCATAGTGGTATACTACAAGACGAAGAGGTTCAAAGACTGAATATGCATATATTCATATCATACGGAACATCTCGTTCAAACAATCCAGGCTGATACGATATGTACAGAATTTATCAGAATAGATTAGGATATATAATAAATATTGACCTCTTTTGAGATCACCGGACTAGAATGCTCCGAGAGCAAAGCGAAGAAGCACGCCTCGAAACTGGCTCGGGATCTCAGAGCACTGCGGCTGTCACAGCTGCGTCACATTTGTAGCGCGTCTGCGCCACATAATTGCGCGTCGCTGCGGACCGCTCTTTGGATGCGCCAGGAGCACTGCATCGGTGATTATTATAATCGCGAGACGCGCAACAAAACAACTCACACTCACAAATTCACTCACGCCTCGACAAACAAGCATTCCGTGACCCACTATGTCTATACGCAATACACATACAACAAGCCTTGTCGCCATGGTGTTACCTTGTCAGCCGGGCACAAACCGCCCGAGGCGGTGTACACTGGTTTTTCAAATTCTACAGACAGACAGCGCACCACTAAACAAGCTTCCACTGCCGGCCACAACAAGACGACCGGCAGTCAACGTTAAATCCGAAGAATTAGACGTCCCGTCAGGGACAACCAAAGGCGTTTAAAGCTATTTACCGCGCTTTGTTCTGTAATAGAGTTGCAAAATTTCCCTACCGCACTACCGGCATGCCGGTAATTTTTCACTACCGCAGGTTTTTTCGTGGTATCTGGAATGTCTTGCCGGTAGCATGCCGGTATTTTTGATTTTGCACAAAAAATTATCAGCATATGATTCAAACTTTGGACACTAAGAGGCTATTGAATTGTAATAAGTTGGACAATGGGTGGCTGTTGGGTGGGGCGGTTACTGAAATTGCCAAAATGTGGCATCTCATGTAGGGGTAAGCCAAAATCAAGAATGCAGGTTTTTTAGTATGCCGGTAATTTGGCGGTTTTTTTTGCTTGGGGCGTGGTACCATGCCGGTATCCCAGAAAATGTTTGTGGGGCGGGGCGGTGCCGGTAGCAGCCCATTGGGAAAACTTTGCAACTCTATTGTAAACAGAATACACCCTAGATTCAGCTAATTTTTACGGTATGATACAAAAGCAAAAACACTGAACCATTACAAAGAGAAAGCCGGAGCCGAGCGGCCCCGAATGGCATCAACAGCGACATAGCAACAAGACACTCATCACACTAGTTAACAACCGTCCGTCCCTGCCGCGGCCCGGGTCACCGGAGGTCACCTGACCGTCACCACGTCACTGTCACGTGACCAGGTCAGGCCCGGTCAGGCCGCGCACTGCCTTCGGGCGTCTCTGAGGTGGTTGAACACCATCATTGAGTTGGCTACTGGCGATCGGAGATCGGGTTCCTGAACGATGTTTGATAAGTTGGTCTTCTAATGCCGGGATGTCTGCGAGGAGCATCTTGAGCTCGGTCTAGGTATCTGATTAGTCTCATTAGAACCACTGCAGAATTGGTCCACATTGCACCAGCCGGTGGTCACTTTAGTTCACAGACGGTGATATGCAGCCACTGGGGGTCTGTCTGATCCACGGTCGACCTCGATGACCTCGCTATGACCGCAATGGCGCAGATGACCTCCGATGACCGCGACTCCCGGGACCAGCCCGGAGAGACGCTCGGCTCCCGTCCGGAGCCAGCCGGAGGAGCCAGCCCGGAGGAGCCAAACCGGAGGAGCCAGCCGCTTCGCTGTCGTTACATACGTCCGAAGGGTTATCACGAGGACGCAGCGTCGGGTCCCGGGCTGGGGCCCCGCTTCGGTGCCGGGCCCTCGTCCGAGGCCTTGGAGGCGGGCTCCGAAACGCGCTGCCGCTTCCGCGTACGAAGCATGTCTGCAAAGACAGAACAGAAACCGGTCAGGGCGGGTTGCGAGCCGGTGACAGTGCGGCGCGGATCTCTGGTCGGAGCGCCGCTGAGCTGCTTGCACGGCCGGCTGGTTTGGCCGGTGGAGACGACTGCGGAAGGCACTGCGGAGAGACCCGGCCGGGGCGGTTTTTTGCCGCCGTGGTCCCTACTACGAGCGAGAGATGCGTGGAAGAGACCGGTTAGCTAGAGTGGTGCAAAACACACCTGGCCGGTTTTATAGTAGATTTTAGAGTTAAGACTTCAATGTTGTTACGTAAATTTTGCAGCCAGTATACGCCTGGCTTTAAATTTGGGCATGTTTGGCAGACTGAATTCAAACTACGTAAAACTAGTTGTGACATTCACAACATTGCTCGTCCTCACAAACTTTTCACGAGTTGAGTTGCTTTTTCCCAAAAACACAGCGGCACCTAGCCCTATGTGTCAAACCAAACGCTTCCCCTGGGAACCTGCACTGAGTCGGGCCAGTTTCTCAAGCATTTTCCAGGTCATTTCAGCATCCGATTTCCGAACACTAAATCATCGCCCTAAAAAACTTCGTGCTCCGTATTCTTCGTGGCTAGCAATAATTACGCGATCTAATGAAAACGGTTGTTGTCGGACCGTTGTCGTTATTTATAGCGGCTCATTACATTTCAGTGTGTTGTTACGGAGATGGATGGAAGCTAGCAGCCGAGGAAAACACGGAGCGACACAGCGCCGAGCGTCGTTACTGGTCGCCGTTAGCGTTGTTAACGTCGCCGGCATACGCATTATTTCAATATTCTGGCCATCAACACGCCCTTAGCCGAGGGCCTACAAGCAGCCCGGCTCGGTCCACACAGCCCTCGGCTGGAACAATCACGGCACTTATACACACAGCGAGAATGTGATGTTGAAAGCTGGCCATATTAGCTTCGTGGGGAGTGTCGTACAAGGATCTGTTGTTTCACCCAACTTTTTTTCGTTTTAACGGCTCGAAGCATTGCTTGCTATAAAAAATATTAGCCGGGGCAAATTCCAGCATTCTGGAAGTTACTTTTAAACACGTCTGAATTTTCAGATGACTCACTATCTGAAACAGTTCGTGGGTAAAAATATAAATTTGTGATCTCCACGCATCAGGGGAACACAATCCTTCAAGGGAAATCTCTTTAGCACATTGAATGATGAACGATAAAAAGATACCAGAACGGAAAATCAAATGAAAACTTAATTTCAAGGTTCGCAGCTGCACAAGCTACGAAAGTGCAGTAAATTCGAAGTTTGTGATTTATAGTTTTTTTTTTCTGAATTGTGTAGCAGTACTAGCAATAATGTTTTGTTTGTGGAATTTGAAATTAGTTCAAAGGAGTCCTTCGACCATAAGTTAAAAAAAATGACAGCATCTGCCTAGAGTGTTTTCAGAGCTGTTGGCGGTCAGACCGGTATATCTGCGGCCGCGGCCGGTCCGTCCAGCGGCTGCAGCGGCCAGTGCCGGGGTGCGGCCGGGGCCCGGACTGGTCTGGCGTGCACTGACGTGCAGCGACTGGCCGGTCCCGTGCACGGACCGGCCTGCCATTACCGCGGCACAGGACCGGTTTTTGCTCGCGCCGCCGGCCGGCCGGGGGTCAACGGTTTCGGGCCGGCTCCGGCGTGCTTTTTGCGCCGCCTTTAAAGTGCACGTATACGAGAAGGAAGGAGCGGGCATGCTCACCTGTGATTGCCGCCTGACTCCTGGCGGGCCGGTTCGACGCCCGGTCGGATGGGGCGGCGGCGGGGGCGGCGGCGGGAGCCGGAGCGGGAGCCGGAGCAGCCGGCTCCTGAACCCGCTCCGAGGGCTCCGGGCCGTAGGCGGCCTCGCCCTCGGTGCGGGACTGCTCCGGCGGCGGCGGCTGCACGCGCTCCCACAGGTACCGACCGCCCGGCACCGGCTCCTCCTTCTCGAAGTCAAAGTTCCACTTCTTCTTCTGGCTCTCGTAGATGTGCCTCATCTCCTCCTCGAGGACGCGCCTAGTCTCGGCCGGGTCAACGGGGCCGAACAGGCGTCGTCGCGGGGAACCGGCAGCGCGCCTGACCTGCGCGTGGCCCAGGTAGAAGAGCCTGAGGTCGGGCGCGTTCTGATTGTCCATTATCATCATCGTCGGCGGCACACAGCACGGGCGGATCGGAGCGCGCACGACCACTGCGGAGGGCTGCCGAACGCCAACTGACGGGCAGGGAGCGGAGCGACCGGCCGACTCCTGGGGCCGACTGGGGTGGGCCGCGGCGGGCCGCCTGCGCGGGGACACTGCGCACCAACAGCCAATCAACGGCCGGCGCTACAATGACGTAGGGTAGAGTATGGTCTCTGATTGGTTGAAGGCCGTGGGACGACTGCGTGGGTTCAATGAGTTACCTATAGGAATAAAAATTGCACATATGTGCTCTGATTTGACCGGGCCCAAATGCAAAGATTTGTGGCGGCTCGTAAGCAGCAAAAACCAAGTACCAAGCTCTGATTTGGAAACGGTTCTTACCGGACCCAAATGCAAGAATTTGTGGCGGCCCGTAAGTAAGAATGATCAAGAACCAAGAAACGGTTCACAAGGGAAACATGAGACTGATGAGAAACAGGACTGATCAGAAGTAAGCTTCGGGGAACCGTTCCCATTCGATTAACAGCTCATGTCTAAGCAACAACAGGCCACATGATTGCATTGCAGGTTTCATGAAAATTTGAACGTTTCGATAAAGTTAATCCAGCATGTAGGTAAAATCACATTGGTATATTATAACTAATATTGAGTACAAGGTAGGTACGCTGCTAGGCTGGTACAAAAATAAGGATAAACTTTGTGATGCCACTAAATGTGGACGATTGGGAAGTTATTGATCGAAGTGGAAAATTTGGAATAAAAAATATATCTGAGAGCGATGCTGTTGGAAAAGTTATATAATGATCTCATCACAAATATTATAGTTACTAGCGGTGTGCCAAATTTGAACGCAATCGGCCCAGCCGTTCCTGAGATCTGGAAGCGGCATTCTGCACGTGCGCACGTGCAAACGGGGTCCAAAATAACTTTTGCACGGCACCCTACTAACTGGTCCCCAACCGTGTACCAAATTTGAGCGCAATTGGCCCAGCCGTTCTCGAGATCTGGAAACGCCCCCTGCACGTGCGCACGTGCAGTAGCACCCTAACCGCAACACATGGGAATGCAATGCCTGGTGGGTGCCTACCTGCATGCCAAGTTTCAGCGAAATCGCCCCAGTAATTACCGAGTTACTGAAATGGGAGCAAATTTGGCGCCTCTTATTGTTGTATTTTGCACGTGCACTGGGGGTGACCCACATACATCGAGAGTATCCTATTTTGGGTAGAAGGGATGCTGCTACCCTACAAAAAATTACCGCAAGTCAATCGCCCAAGCGGCTGCTGAGATATGAGCCTCTCAAAATCACTACTTTTGCAAAACAGCTTGAACACCCCTGACTTTTCACGTGGCACGTGCCACGACGGTCACTGAGATGTATCAAAAGTAGTCAATTACGGGGTAGAAGGGATGGGGCTACCCAACAAAAAAGACCGTAGGCCAATCGGTCCAGCGGTTGCTGAGATATAAGCCTCTCAAAAGCGTTACAGGCCGGGCCGGGCCGGGCCGGGCCGGGCCGGGCCGCTCATACTGAGATTTTTCCGTTATATTGAAAAGACTCACTTCGCTCGCTGCGCTCGCTCGCTCGTAATTAGTCACACATTGTGATGCTAGAAAATGAGAGAGGACACCTATTCACCAGGTCAAGCTAGGGTCAGGTCAATAGTAAGCAGTTTGTGTGATAAAAGACGCGATTTTGTCATTGCTACAGCTTACCTCGTAGACGTTTAAAGTTCGGTGTTTTGTGTGAGGGTAACAGTACCTTACGTAAGATTTTCTTTTTTAACCTGCGCCCCACTGGGTGCATTTTCATGCCAATTCATTAACTTTTTTGAAGGTGGGAGGGTCCCTTTAAGAAGATATTGCAGAAAACTGGGAGGGTGCTCTTAATTGCTCCCCTCCCCCCCCCAGTGAGACGCAGGGTAAACCGCACTCTGGTGGGGGGTATTTTTTGCCTCCCCCCTCCAGACTTTTCGATACATCTCCAGAGCCGCTGCGCGCCGATCGTCCCCAAACTTTCAGTACCCTACACTCAATTTTAAACATTGTGACCGAAAATGTTTCCAAAGGTTATGATAGGTTGGCTGCAAATGACGTCAAAGTGAAATCATGTTCTGCCGTTTTTGACCCAAAAAAAAGGTTTTGCGGGAAGAGCCATCAGGCCTATAGCTTTGAAAATACAGAAAAAAAAACGTTTGGACATATAAGGCGTAGGGCTACCAAACTGCGATCTAGGAAATTTGATTTTTTGGATTTTGACCCCCCAAAAATAAAAAAATAAATATTAAAAAAAAATATAATTGCCAAAAAGTCCAAAAGTTTTTCGATTTTCGAAAAAAAACTGATCGTATATATCTGATAGTCCTTACCAACTCCTATTTACATACTAACTTTTAGATCGATACCTCTTTTGTTGGCCAATATATAGCGAAAAAAAAAAACTATTCAAAATTGATGACGTAAAATTTTCAAACTCAATATTCAGCAATTCTAGACCACGTAGCGTAAAACAAAGACCACCATTTGACTCGCCGTGACAAGCTGCATCGAATCAATACCCATTTTACGCAAAAATATCAACTTCAACATTTGACCTTTTTAACCTGACCTTGACCCCAGCTCCACCAGGGAGTGACCTAAACCGTTCCTGATGGTTTTAACTTTTATAACCATCACCACTGAGGTTGAAATGAAAAATTGGCCATAAAACATGCATCACACAGCCCTAGTAAAATTGGGTTCATGTGCTGACCCTTGGTGACCTGACCTGTGACCTGACACCTGACCTGACATTATCGGTGACCTCTAATAGCAACATATGTACTAGGCAACTGACGTTCTATCGCCGATTTTCGATTAAATGCGTTTTAGTCGATGTTATGGTGCATTCCCTAGAAGACCCGTGACCGGCAAAACATTTTATCATTGACCTGGCCTGTGACATCATCGGTGACCCCGATGTCAATGAAATTGGATTTCCTTCGACAAATTTGATAGGGCTTTCGAACCCCGTTTGGATTTTGCGGATCCGTCCAGTAGTTTCGGAGATACGAGGGGGGAGCAAAAAAATAGCCCCCTCTCCCCACGCGATTATAACGCCAGGTGGCGTTATAAACGGAACCCATCAGGGTGCGGGTTATAGTAATATCGGTGACCTGGGGTTAGACCAGTTTCGTGATTTTAGCATTTTGTAGCAATAGTGGAAAAAGTAGGTATACCAATAACCACGATCAGTTTCAGAATCATAAAATCTCTTACTCATGGGCTCCGTCATCGGGGGGACGGGGGGACTTGTCCCCCCCGGGGGGACAAGTCCCCCCGTCCCCCCAATATTTTACATTTTTAACATTATGCCTATGGGTGTTGCATGGAAAGAATCGACTTCAAACGGCCTTCGTCCCCCCCCCCCTCCAACCATCGGGTCGTGACGGAGCCCTTGCCCTTACTTTACCCATATGCAACGGACAGGGCAAGCAGTTGATGGCCAGCAGTGATTTGAAAAGCCATGCTAGATCATATAGGTCACCAACAGCAGTTTTCAGGCGAAAACTTTAGATGGAGACATACCAAAAAAAATGCCACATCTGGATCCCGTTCAGCTCAACAATAGCCGTTTTCACGACGGCCATCTGGTACACATTTGGTGCACATTTGGTGCAGATTAGGTGCAAATTTGGTCAAATTAGGTTCACTCGCCGGATAGCCCGTCGTGAAAACGGCTAATACGTATTAGCCCGTGCCGAGCCTGTGCTATATATGTACTATGTAGTTGCATTGCATCCCTCAACATTTGCTGCAAACTGGGGAGGAGGTGGTGGTGGTGGTGGGGGTGGGGGGTGGGGGTGGGGGGACGGAAGTGCCACGGGACAGACAGCGGATGTGTCCGCTCCACCCCCGCCCCCGCCCCAGGGCGACCTTCCCGCCACCTTGAGCTGGTTATGGCGCCGCCATCTCCCGGAGGGCGGGACTAAACTGACGCGCCACGAAGAGAAACACCAGGCTGATGCAATGGTGCTCGGGCTCGGTCGCAAGCCTGGTAACGAAATGGAACACTGTTTGCAGCTGGCTGAAACAGTAAAATAGCGAGTGGTATCAACCTTTGCAATGAATACCTACACTTTCCAGTGAATTCAAATTAATATAGGTATGGAATCGTAGTTGTGCTTATATTCATTTTCAAGGTTGTTCATTTTGACTGTTTTAGAGGTTTACAACGATCATTTTATTGACGATGTAATTCATAAATGAAATATGTAGAAAGCACGTTAACTAATAGTCACTGTCCAAGTCAAATCTTCAAGGACTTTAAACTGGCCTTATTTTACGAAATCCGCGGTGAGAAGCAACCAAGTTGTTGCTCAAATGGAATTTGCTAATGATTTCGGAGTAGACATGTGCTGGACCCCTGCCTCACAGTAAGCAAAGCTACATTGTTACTATCCAAATCCTTGTCCCCAAGTATGGACTTCATAGGTAAAACGTTTATTAACGTAATTTGCATTCCTCAAAGGACTAATAATACCTTCCACTTACAAGAAACTTAACGGGAACTAACCTCATCGGGGATTAAAAAGAACTAATTGCTTGTTAGGTAAAAGCTGAAAGCAATAAAATATTTCTCCTTTCAGGCATAGCCATTGACGATGATAATAAAATCTGTTTCGTTTCAGGATCTGTGAAGCCGTTCACTTTACACGCTTCATCTCGGTAATGCAGTCATGAAGACGAAAGACTACCACACTCCTCCAATCCCATTTCAGTGGCCATAAAAGCTAAAACGTCGCTCGAAGAGCCACTTGGAGTGAGACGGTTCAATACGAACGGCCCATGAATACGTTATACACGCACGGTTCTGCTTACGACCCCATCAGGTGGTCGAAGAGGGAGACAGTTATGGTCACTGACTGCATTCTTCTCCCACAAACCACAGCCTTTAGCAGGGCTGGAGTCGCTCAGTAGAAGTGCTGTTCAATATACATGTGTGTCCGAGCCTGTGCAACAGTTTATGCATTTGCCGCATGGGTCTACCGTATAAGTCGGTAGCAAAAGCCGCGGAAGCAGCCCATATATGAAATTTTATTACCCTTTTCGCTCCATGAATACAGCTACGATCGATTACAACTCGATCAGCCATTAAGTGTGTGTACTTGCATGAACAGCTACGAAGATGCTCACATGACTTTCCCGCGTCACCAGAGTGCATGCGTCAGTGATTGATCAGCCTAAGCAAATTAACCTTTTACAGCTATTTCACTCTAAAGGTCTGAGCCCTGGGAGGCACTTCCGCCCGAGAGACCGCTAACTCTACAGCACCCAGCCAGGCAGCGTGGGGTGGGCGCGCCGTGCTCGCTCCCAGGCGGATAACCGGCCGTCGCCAGAGTGGCAGGCCGCCGCCAAATTAGCAGGTGTCACAAAAACAGCAGCCCTAATGAGACCTCCTTCGAGCAGACGGATGGCGCCGGCGTCTGTTGGCAAAATCACTGCCGCCTTTCCGTAATGCGACTTTAATCATGGCGCACACCACTTTCTTGGTTACCTGAGCGGATTCGGGGAGGTTTCGGAACGAGAGGGTAATGGCCAAAGTCACGCCAGATATGAGAGAGCACCTCCGGAATGTCTGAAAAAGCGCATGCCGTCACAGGAGGCGCCAACCTCCAGACCCTCCGATGCAGGAGCGACTGGCAGCCATTTGCGTCAGACGGAATGCATGGTACATCCAAGCGGTGACTCAGGCAGCAGCCATCTTGATTCTTGGTGCAGCATGCGACGTATATCTGGACGTATATCTGCATTGTCGAACATTTTTGGACTGGCCTGGTAATATCTCTAACCTAACCAAAGTAAACGCGATTATATCGCCAGAAAAGGATCGATAATTGTTCAAAAAAGTTAACGTTATCTAATTTCATATACATTTTACATTCACCCAATTACACAGTAGCCGATATCACTTAGGTATTCATGATTCAGAAAACCGTGTGGCAATGCAGTGAGTTTCTGTAGTGAAGACTAGAAGACCATGACCACTGTTTAGCTTTTTTTTCTTCCAGACTCGTCGGACGGGCCAGACAGACAGCGAATTGGCACCGATTGACCCTCAGCTCCAGGGCAGCCGTCATGAGCCAGCAAAACGCAGGCCGGACTGTCAGCAAAAAGCCGTCTGGACAAACCAAACTGTTGTCTCTCTGTCGTATTGTGACAGCGCCACGGCGCCCAAACAGTCCGCCTTTTTGCGCGGCTCGACCAACACCGAGCGTCCAAGTTCGTATTTACATGTGACACGAATTTCCCTGTTCCAATATTTTGCCACATCACGCAGGACGAGCGTCGCGCACGAGAGCGTGGCGTTTGGCCGGAGCTGACACTATCCGCCGCCACGCTTACGAGGCGGTTCCGTGGCCTTTCTCAGGCCGCCCCGGTCCGGCTGCGCTGCGCCGGTCGTCGCCGGCGTCACGCGCGTCGCCGACGGCTTTTTACCTTTAAACCCCACGAGCCACGCATCGTCGCCGCCGAGTGGCATCTTTCCGGCGGCGAAATTTAAACCTCGTCGGCGGTGGTTAACCCTTGGGTTCCCAGGGGGAGGTGTCCGGAAGCCCCGGCGGCGGTCGGGGATGGTGGGGACGGAGCCCGAGGGGCGTCACACGCCGGGCACACGCGACCGTCAACCCCACAACGCCGACAAGACGCACATGTCGACTCAAGAAAAACAGTGTTCGCTTCTCGACCGGGGAGCCCGATCCATGTCGCCGGTAATTAGGAGGGACGCGAAAATGTGCCCCTCCCAACCCTGCACCCGAAAGTCTAAATGAACGCTTGCATGATTGGAGGGATTGCCACAAGCGACGCCTACGACTTACGTCACTGGTAGCAACCAGCACCAGATAAAATGTAATTATGTACATTTTCTTACTTTGTCTCTGTCTACTCTGGTGGCAATTGCCAATACTCTGGTGGTCTTACTTTGTCTTTATCTGGGCATTGCAGAGTAACTTTAGGGGCCATTAGCCCCTGGAGGGCGCGTGAGTCAAAACACTGCCCGTGCCAGGGTGAAAGACCAACAGCGGCAGTGAGACGCGGCAGTGAGACCTGTCAGCGACTGTTCGGGAGTGACGTGACCGCCGGCGGCGACACCCCATCAGACGGCCGGCGCAGCATTTCATACATTCTAAAGCGTCGCTCGATGTCTTTTAATGCATTTTATGGGCAGTAACGCAGCCCGCTATGGCCATCCAGAGGCCATGTATGGGGTCATTCGTGATGGGTGAGTAGGTGCTTAGGCGCTGACGGTTATTTCTCAATATGTTTTTGAGCTGTGCGTCGGCGTCGGGTGACCTCGCTTGGTAGAAACAATCTCTGCTGTGTCATCTGTGGCAGTAGCTCAGATATCACTACATGTTGATTTTTAAAAATCCCGTTCGTCAACCAAATAAATTTCAAGTTAGCTATTCAGCTGTACGGAATGAATTGTGCTCCCATTTTGGCAATGCACAATGCAGATTTACCTTGCATCTACATGAACTATTTGGGGTAGGTAAGTCTTTGCTGATCTTGTTGAAATGATAGTCCCTAAATGACCTTACCAATTAATAGCAACACCTCAGGAACTAGATCTTCTGGGTGCAAGGACACGCTGCACGGCGCCACCTTCCCACTCTGAACTCCAGTTGACCCATCTCTCCCCTCCCCGGCGTGCCCAGCGGTCTGAGTCATCCCACCTGGGCGTCTCCCCGCCTGCTCGAGGCAGGTGACGTGCCCCGCTGCCCCCGTCCCCCCGCACCCCTTCCCTTCCCTCACCGCGAACCTCGACGCGATGGGCGCGCCAAAACCAACCGCCGGAAATGGCGCGGGAACGACAAAAACGGCGCGCCTCCAAGGTGCGCGGATTATTGATTTACGTAAGTGACAGACGTCGGTCTTTTTAGCATAAAAACGTGCAGAGTCTCGCCCCCAGCCGGAACTGAACAGCGCCCTGGTAGTTTAAGCCATTTAAACCTGACGCCATTAGCTGCGGTAAATTGAGAAGAATTTCAAACAGACGCCGAATCGTCATGGTTTCCCACATACTGGGCGCTGCAGCTGTCACTGTGGTGTAAATGCACCCCGCAGCACCCTGCATCCCACAGGATCTATAAAGCATCAACACCCGGCGCTGTTTTAATGTGGACCGCTGCGGTATCATGGGAACATACCTGAGGCGGTTTTTGTGGAGGGGGCTGCTGCGCAGGTAAGCTAGGTAGTATGTGCATTTCTGCCTTTGTTTCAAGCTCGCAGGGCGCAACACCGCTATCATTCCTATGCTTTCGAAAAATTGTCATAATGAGACAATCACGCAATGAAGTAAAGTATGCGCTCTGTGAGCAAATCATCTATGGCCATTGGCCATCTTCCCATAGTAAAAGATTCCAAGTCTTTTTATTAGTTTCTGAGCCATTGACGCCGTGTTCTAGTTAAAAAACCCGGGTCTTTTCACCGGAGGGCGGCAGCTGGCCGCTGGAACAGTCAAGATTAATCGATTAGATATGCAGACAGCTGACAGGGAATATGCAATGACCCACAGAAAGTGTCACAGGACGCGTACACACACAGGGACCTGGACCCACGCGGCACCCGGCCACCCGCATGTAAGGCACATAGGGCACCTGGGAGCTACTGCTCCCTGTGTTTAACCCTCGCCGGCACAGGCCATTTTGCGTCCTTCGACGGCACAAGGGGGGGGGGGGGGTTGGTACGACCCCCCTCGCGCTTGGCCCCTGATCGAGCTAGAGCATCGCAGAAAAAACGAGCGTGTTGCCAGTCACGAGAGGAAGCCGATGATACCCAATTTTAAGGTCCTAGGTCATCGGGTGACCTTCCAGGTCAGGTCAATGACCCGAAAACCGGGAAAATCGGGACCTGTTAGGAAGTCGTAAAGTGTGGCTGTTATGTGGTTTTCCGGGGTGCTGATCACGAATATCGTGTTAGTTTTGATCAGAGATGATGTCTTGAAGCATTTAGACCAGGTCGGGTCAGGTCAGGTCAGGTCAACCGGTAGGGGTTGTGACGGGTATTCGTAATACGTGTCAACCGCCTCTGACAGCTTCGTAACATGTTACGAAGGCACCAAAACTACTTCGTAAATGTTCAAATGGTTGCTAAATTCGAGTTCAGCTCCAAAAACTAGCCTAGAAACATGTAAAACTCGAAAAAGTGAACCGAGGTCACCCGAGGTCACCAAAGGTCAATGACCTGACCTGACCTTCAGGTGACCTTGACACCCACCCTGATGTATGGGAGCAACATCAAATCACATGTTTGAACGTTTGAAACCACGAAAAGCTTGCAAACGCGCGGCTAATGCGAGCCGACATACGCCGAATCGCGATTCCGGCCAAACATGGTCTCGGAAAAGAGGTCACAGGTCAAAGGTCATTTGGGTCAGGGTCATGAAATTTTCAGGGTAGGTGTAAAATTGATCAATGCGAGGGTACTGAAAGTTTCGTCGCGATCGGCCGCTTTTAACAATAGTTATTCGCGAAAAATCTTAAGGGGGGGGGGGTTGCATCAACCCCCCGTGTGCCGGCGAGGGTTAATGGGGAGGAGGTGCAGGTCCAATTATAAGGTGCTTCAAATGAATACATAGCATTGACGGACGATGAGCCTTATCTTAATGACATTGCTCTTCAAAATCTGGATCACCTCTGCTTAAATCCTGCCCAATTTGTCCAAATAAAACGATTTATTTAATAAAATGCATTATAAATCATTTTAAAATGCATCAGTTATATTTATAGAGCATGCCAGCTCCGAAATTTATTTCTGTTAATATCGGGATGTACCTACTATTCACAAAATGATAGTTGCAACGGTAACAGCCCTTCAGTGGCCAGCATATTACCCTTTGGTATTATTTTACCATTTCCGGGAACTCTGTCAGGCGTAGCTCGCTAACAAATCCCCTCCCCAAACCATCACTGCACTGCTAACCTGCCTGACAGCCCTGATAACGTTAAATCACGCCCCCTGATATTGCAGAGCACAGGTGATGCGTAATTGCCGATTAGAGCCGTGTGTGCGGGCGCTGAGCGCACCCTGAGCAGCTGTGCAGACCACCTGGTCGGGCATATGTAGGGGAGAGTGGGGCAAAGCGGCCACCCGGGGCAAAGCGGCCACCCATCGTTTTAGCCCTTCATAGCTGGCGTCAGTTCCAATTTATGGTTTCCAATTATACTTCTCTTCACGGTCGTTCGAATGAGCCAGACCGGGGTTTCAGGCCCATCACCATTGTTCTGTGAAACACGGAAAAGCATTTCTTGCCAGGTTACCAACTATGTTTACAATTTTTAAATGTTATGTTATTCCATAACCGTTTGGAATTTTTATAAGCGTTCTTGTTCATGCATTGCATGGTTATCGTACATGTATTCTACCAATTTTAATGTTTTTTACCCCACTAATAGCTAAGCTGGAATATTTTTGTCTCGGACGTTATGCGCGGGGCAAAGTGGCCGGGGCAAAGTGGCCACCCCCCAATTGGCCATAAGTTGCTTCCATCTGGATAAAAAACATTATTTATATTCAAATGTGTCGTCATGCATTCATCTTGGCCACTTTTCAGTTGCATGAGTTACCAAATAATGCAATTAAATGTTTATTTTCATGAAAATCCTTTCTTTGCTTACCTACAGGTGGAATATGATAAAGTAAACATCCATCCTCGCTTAACCTTGTCACCATCAAATACCCTAGTCGTACACGAGGCAACTATTTTGTTTCTCATATCGGGACTTGAGAAGACGCCGGTGGCCGCTTTGCCCCAGGGTATGGGGCAAAGTGGCCAATATGCATAGGTTTAAAGTTTTGTCAATATCTTTCATATGTGAACGCCTTTGGAAATAAAACGCAGTTGAAATAAAAGGCAACTTAATAGGGATCACATTGGTATAGAAAGAATCTTTCCAAGTTTAAAAATCAAGCGTTGGCATCGTGAGAAGCGTTAGGGTGGCCGCTTTGCCCCACTCTCCCCTAGTATGAGTCCACTGGCTATTGTGCGAATTCAGTCATAAAGTACTTGCTGGTAGGTGAAAGCTGCTATTCAGTTTATGAAAAGCTGACGAGTCGTGAAACACTGGCAATGCAATGCAACTGGCTTGATGACAGAGGAAAATATGCCGGCGGGACAAGTGCTCAAATATTTAATTGTGGTGTAAGCACATCATAGCACCAAACGATATCTTTTCTTTTGCCACGTGTGCATTGAATGTTTAGAAAGCTTATCCTTCAATCGTGCTCAATATTAGTAGCGAGCAAGCACTTTCCGATAGTGGGTTTAAATAACACTTATTACGAGATAAGATCTTTCACTTATAAGAGCATAGCTGAACTGGTTGTCATTTATATCTTCAAACACCCACTCCAAATGGAACCACAGCCCATGTCACTCATCCTTGTGACCACCCGTCTCTGGCGCCTCGCGTGCAGAGCTGCGCGAGGCGAGTCAGGTAGCGCACCTCGCAGGCTCGCTCGAGGCCTGGCTCGCTCTCCGCCGTCGGCTACTCATTACCGTCACTGCTCCTCTCCAAA